CAGCCATTGCAAACACCTGAAGAAAAGAAAAGAGGAGAGGGGAGTAATTTAGACAGTGTATAATTATATATCCCAACATTTCTCTATTTTGTTTTCTTGCTTGTGATATTTTAAAATATCTGAAAGGTTATAAGAGGCAAAGTAAGGACTGACATGATCTGCCTTCCTTCTCCACTCTGGAACCATGAATGTTACCAACTTTCTATGCATCTACATCCACTACATTTTGAGACAGGGTCTCCCTATATGCTCAGGCTGGACAATTTGATCTTCCTACCTTCATCTCTGCACTGGTGAGTTTAGAGGTATGTTGCCACACAACAAAGGCAAAGTTTTAATACTGACAAGATCTTTAATCATCGAGCACCTTCCTAGTTATCTCTTATAATATATCTGTAACTTAGGACACACGTAACTTGTCTGCTTTTAAGTCAAGTTTACTACTCATTAAAATGTTTCTTTTCAAGTCTTATTTTTACCACAAAAATAGAGATCTTGTGTTCATGAGGGTGGGGCAGGGAGGGCAAGGATAAGATCACAGAAAGGGTCTATGTCACAGTCACTGTAAAGCTTTTACAACTGTTTCTTGTTTTCCTTCTGTACAAGTTCCATTCTCCTTAGTCCTCTGCTATTTTTAATATCCCAGAAAGCATATTAGTGGTGGTCTTACTATATCACCTTTAGATGGAGGAATCTCTTGCATTAAGCTATTTCTCAAAAGCAAGGTCTCGGAACAATGATCCTTCCCTTCTGCATGGATCCCTTGGGTCTGCTAACACTTGCTGTCCTAGGGAGCTTAAACGACGGGCCAGACAGTGGAGCCACACAGCAAAGGTCTGCAAAATTCTCACACTCAAGTTTCATCTTCAGTTAATACCAATATTATCATGTGGTTCTATGTCTGGCTGTCTTTCTTCCAAATACCTTCTAGGTAAGGAATTATTAAAATAAAAATATACCCTTGGTGTTCAATCCTTTGATCAATATACTAAGGTTTTAAATCCTCTTCTATCCTTAAGTTTAAAGGCATAGTAATGAAACACAGCTACAGGGCTACAGTTAAAGATCTCACACCAATTCCACAGTAAGCTCCCATTTTCAAGGGCTTACAATACCATTAAAACTTGCTGTACATTGAGTCTTGGAATATGAAAGCATAGGCTGAAAATAGGTTTCATTTATTCCTTCTATTTTTTTCTTCATCCTTGCCAAGATTGATAGGACATAGATAGAAAAACAAACAACACATACACACATGCGTACACACACACACACCGGGCTCTTTATACATTTCTAAAATGATATCTGATTGTCAGGAGCCATAATGGGATAAGGTTTAGGGACCACTATTCTAAACTCTCCAGCAACTTCCAATTTCCCTTTCCTCCCTACACATCTTGGCTTCTTTAAAGTACAAAAGGTCATCCTGCAAATCCATCCAGTGTTCTCACTGAGCTCAGGCCTTCACCCTCCCCAAACTAACTTTATTAGCAGCCCACTCATTAATAACGTATTCCCCTATATATTCTACTTTCTCCTCAGCCACTATCTGTCTTTACTATTCTCACTAATGACATCACGTTTTATAGCTTCCAACAAGGCAGTATTCCTTTGACTTGTTCTATCGGAAAGGCTGTATCCAGATGGAAACCTCTCCTGTAGTGCTCAGCTTAGAAATTCCATGACCCCATTTATCAACCTCTGACCTCATCTTCAATGCTCTACTGACAGAACATTAGGGCCAGGCCCTTCTTTCTCTTTCCCTGACATTACCTTTAATTCAGCATATATTATGATCGATCTTCTAAAACTTTTTACAAATAATTTTATTTAGTTCTTTAACAGAAACAACTTCATCTTTTGCCAGTGAAACGTAAAGTCAGCGACACCATTCTCTGACTACAACCAACAACCTCCTCCTTTGCAAGTTAATCTTCCATTTTTTTCTTTCTCCACTGTCTTAACTCAAGAACATATTTGGAGTATTAGGCCAATATTTTTTCTTGGTCAATTCCCTCCACCCCCACTTCCTTCTTGCTCCAACTTCTTTCTCAAACCAAACAGAAGCAGTAGTTGGCCTAAAAATGTGCATGTAAATACAGAACAGGAAGATAGATGAAAGAATATGTTAAGTGTGAGTTTATTTTAAAAACATAACTGTTGTTTAAAACAAAGAACCATACAAAAATTAATATTACTCTAAAACTATCAATGACCTAGTGACGTGGCAGCAATAATGCTGGTGGGAGTGAATGGTTGGGGAGCACTAGGAAGTATCTAAAGCAAACGTAAGTCACACCCAATTGCCATCACTAAACAATGATCTCCCTGCATCCCTTACCCTTGTTTACGGCAGTATGCTATTCCCTTCCTGTTCAGCTTCCACTACAGTACAAGCCTTTCAGTGACTCTCTTCCAGTTCTCTAAGCATCCTTATCCCACTGCTCTGTGGTATCACCTACTCTGCAGACATGCTTTTACCAGCATCTTCTCTTATCTACACACCCAGACAAGTGCAGCTGAAAGAAATATCATATTCTCTTCCAAGTTATTAATCCTACCTCGGCACACTTCACTCACACTTAGCACTCTTCTGTTTGTTCGGTTGACTCACTTCCCATCTTTCTGGAAACAACAACTACATTTTTCTTTAAAGCTGCCATGCACTTATCCTTTCCTCGTTTTCTATTCTCTTAAAAAAGAAGAAACAGCTCTTGAAGTAATGTCCGTTGGACACAGATCCTATCTCTTTCTGTCTCTCTGGAACCTTAACCTTCGGGTTCTGTAATATTCTTCAGGCCTCCCCTGCCTTGGCATCATTTATTCCTTTCTTACTCTGCCTTTTCTTACAGCAATACTTTATTCGATTATCATCTACTTTTCATATTATGTCTACTCCTAATTAATGCTGCAGTTCATACACCGGGGCCTTCTTCCTATCATTCTATGAAAACACCATTAACATAGTAATTTAGTCAAACAGAAATCTAAAATACACTGATTTCCCTTCTATTCATTTCTCAGTTCTTTGTAGATTCCCTTACAGACTAAAAATGAGATTATTCAGAGCCAGGTTCGTGTTTTGATTCCACGATATATCAAGTATATAAACAGTATAGATGTGCAAACGCTTGGTTTCCATTTCCTATTTTACAGAAGAAAAACCCCTGGGGTCGAGTCCACCATTCTATCAAACCACCTAGGAATCCAGATTTAATTTGCAACTTGAGAACTGCTGCTCTGGAAAATTTACTTTTTGCCAGTGACCAGAAACTTCTCTTTCAAGCCCATGCTTCTCTTCAGCCCACCTCTTCCCACAAGAGCTAACAGCAAGTTTAGCATCCTACTGAACACAACCTCAGTGGAGCCACTTGAACCTTTATTTCTCCTAGCCAGCTTTAAGTCCAGCTTCCCTTTTACAAGTCACCTTCTATCTCTGGCTACTACCACTTTATAGGAGTCGCATCCCCTACTTTAAGACCAAGTAAATACATGAAGGATACTTTGAATTTTTACATTTGTTATTGGACCACTTTTCCTGGCTCATCTCATTCCTGCTGTTGTTACTACTGTTCCAATGATCTGTCCTGGGATCCCGATTTAGTTTCATTATTAATTTGTTCTTTAGTAATCATGCGAATTTCGTTGTCAACTACCATCTCCAGGCAGATGACTCCACATGGTTTCCTCTCACTTCTTATTTCTGTTACTCTGAAAACAATGACTATTATTCGATTAACTCACCAATGTCTAATATTCTTGTCTTTTACTCTACACAGTTCTAATCACTAGAGCAAAAGGGATTAAGAAAATTCAACTGCCTTTTCCTCCCAACAAAACTCAAACTCAAAAAACAAGACAGACATCTATTTTATGGGTAGGAATATGTACAGTGTTCTGACTTGGGACATTCACATTCTAGTCTTTCATCGGTCTTTAATTCATTGATCGCACTAGAGTATAGCTCTTATGAGAGTAGGAGTTTGTGTGGGGTGAGGGCGAATGCAGGTATTTCCCTGGCAAGTAGAATTTCACAGGTGTTTTAAAATATTTATTGAATTAACCGGTTTTTTGCCTAAACGGCCCTTTTCAAGGCTCCTGTGATGTCCCCAAACAAAACCGAGCACCCCTAGCTAAATAGATGCTTTCTCTCAGATCTCTTTTACCCTGCCAGCTAGTTTCAAACTTCCAAATTGATTACTTGCTAGTGCATGAGATAAAAGAAACTGACTATTCACAAGGGTGTAACATTTCATTACTCGAATTATTATCTCATTACTATCTCATACAACATTCAGGAACCATCCCATTCCTGCCTCTGTAGGATTTTGTAATTCTTTCCAATTAACTTTCTTTTTTCTTTTCATTGAGTGCTTGGCTTTCGCGGAAGTCTGGAAAAATCAAGATATAAAAAACCCAAATCCAAAAGAAATCCAAGCGCTAGAGAAGCTGAAAAGAGTCAGGAGACACTTAGAAACGCTAATTCTTTGATGGAATCAAAACATAGGGGCGGCCTCGAATAGGGAAAAGTCCTTTTCAAAGAGGCCAGAAAAGAAGATGTAAAACGGGAGCTGTAGAGAGGTCTCCGGAACCCTTTGTCAAAGGTCTGAGAAAATTCCAGGGTCCCAGTCCCCGGGGCCGCAGTCCTCGGTCTACAGCACCCTTCTCACACAGTCCTTACAGAATAGGAGGAGCGGTCAGGCGGAGCCACGCAACCACCCGCAAATTATGAGGTCTACCCTCCAGTAGGGAGGAGACCAACACCCCACGGAGCTCCACTCCGGACGCCCCTCGCGGGGTCTCGAGCCTCCCCGAGGCACCAGGAAGCGGGGACCCTCGTCACAACTCACCGCTCCGCCCCGCCACTCTGTCGGTTCCCGGTAGCTCTCTTCGAATCGGTCCCCGCCCTAACCAGCATAAGAAGAGAGAAACAAAGGTTCCCGCAACAGGTCGGAAGGGGAACGTTTCCTAGTGAGACAGAAGGAAGTGACGTAGACCGCTCCTTCCGGTCCTCCGGATTATGAATGACGTTGGGCGGGGGACTTCCAGACACATTGCCTCTTCTTTATTTTCGCCCCTTTCCCCAGCTCAGGTCCTTGCAGGAGGCGAGTGCACCTCCTCAGGCCGCGGCTTCCAGAAGTAGCCTCGGAATCCTGGCTCGAGCTGGGCGGGAAGGCGCGGTGGCCCGCGTCGCCCGCATGCTCCCGCGCCCTCCCTGCCTGGCCGCGCCCCTGCGACCAGGTAAAGAGGGCGCTCGGGCTGCTCTGCACCCGCCACCCCCTGAGAACCGCGCTCGCCCTCAGGGGTCGGCAGGGCTGGCCTTGGGGGCGAAGGTGGGACCGGTGAGGACTCGCAGCCTTGAAAGTCTTTCCAGCCCCACATTCACCGCAGACTTTTAGCACTGGTGCAGATGGAGGGCTTCGCGCCCTTCCGCTGAGTGGCGCGTGGGCCACTTGGCTGCGAGCCATCCCTGGGTAGAGCTACAGGGCAGCTTTTCCCGGTAGGGGTTTGTGTGGTCATTTGCTGTTAAATGCAGGGAAAAGACCACTTGGAACACGGTTTAACTTTTCCCAAAGACATACTTGCAGCCCTTCCTGATTGGACGCTGTACATGAATACTATTTTGCAGTTATTTGGGGACGTTTGCTTATCCCCATTAAAGAAGCGTTTCTCTTCCATTATTAGCTCGAACAGAAAACTTAAGATAAGCTTGCATGTGAATTGCTTTGGCTTCAAAAAGTGGATACTCAAACTTTGTTTGATTTGGGAATTACACGACTCCATCCCCCGCCATTATCCACCACCTTTGTCATAAATTCCTTAAAGTCAGAAAAAGTAGACGAATGTACCTCGTACCACATTGCTAAAGATGGTGGCGTTTGTCAAGTTTCCCTCGTGCTGTTCGACAGAAAGGATATTTAGAGGAAAGAAAAAAAAAAGCAAGAACTAGAAGTGATTTTAAACATGTGTGTATGGTCCTGAAATGCCATGAGAATAAACTGTTACAACAACTGATTGGCTGTCATATTTAGTAGATCCAACTTTAAGCTATGTGAGTGTTAACTGCATACCCTGCGAAGATAATTGCCTTAGGTATGCTCATCACTTGAAATTGTGTATCAGTCGCATCATTTTAAAGAGGCCTAACTTCAAAAATAAGATGGAGGTTTGAACGTTGTTTTATGTTACTAATTTAAAAAACAAAACATTAAACTAGTAAGGGGCCATGGAGGGGTGGGCTGTCAAGGAAGGGGAGTCAGTATGCAGTGAGGCCCAGGGGGAAGGGAAAGTGAAAAGAACACTATGCATTTCTCAATACTATGTGTTTCCACACTTTAAACAAAACTAAAAACTTTGTGGTCGTGGGCTTAACGGAGTTTTGTTTTAAACTTTCTAGCTATACTTTCTAGCTTTTTGTTTCAACAGCACATGGTTTGAAATGAGCACAAACCACAATCCATTTGGCCTTATTAATAGCAGTAATTTAGCAGAGATTAAAACATCTGGGACCCGGGTGTCAATCAATATTATAGACTGTTACCTGGTATGTGTTGTTTTTATCCTTAAATGCAAAGTAACTTACTGGTTTCTTCTATCAACACTTCTTGGGATGCAGGAGTTTAAGCTTTGTAATCATAAAATAAGTATTGCTTGCTGAGATAACTTTTTCTTTTTCAGGCATACTGATATTTTCAGCATGTTTACATGTATGCTGTCCTTCCCTGTTAACAAGGTCAGATTTAGCTGCAAGCATTATGATGTCATAGCAACAGACAGGTCTTTGAATCTCCAGGGAGATTATATATTCTTCTATAGCTAAGATTTCAGTAAGCATTTCACTTCCAAACTTTTCTTATTTCATAAAAATTTCTTGCCCTGGTATGCAAATAGCTAATTTTAATCCTGGGTTAATTGCCCCTGAGTTATAATCCTACACTACATAGTATGAACTCTAAAAGCTTTGTTTGTTTTTTTGACTTTTAATTAGAGGTAACAGACTATTAATTTTTTGTGAGGAAGCACTTTTAAAAATCCATATTGTAGTAAAGGGGTTTGTAACCAAATAATGCTGCTTTGTTAAATGTCTAAACCATGAGCTAAGTTGTACATTCAAAATATTGAAGACTGTCTGATGGAGAGAATTGAGCAGGTTTAAATTTAGATTTCGATGTTTGAGAGAAATAAGTAAATGGTCATACTTGTTAACTATGTCAAACTTTTTATTTTATAAAACAAGTCAGTGAGGAAGGGAAACGAACAGCTAAACAAAACTTGTCAAGTACAAGGTTCTGGCCCCTTGAAAACCTGGGAAGAGATGGAAGGAGTGAGGAAGGATAGTAAATGAAGTCAGGAAATAAAGAGGGGAGTCACACTGAAGCTACACTGCTTCTGGTTTATCCTTAGTGTGCAGGAATGTGTGTCTAAAGATTATTGTTAGAGAATGAACTGTGGAAAGTGGAGTGAGTGAGGTGCATTACCTCCTGTAAGCTGGGGATGACATCAGTTCAGCAGCAGGGGTGCTAAGGAATTAGATTTAGGTTCTGTATCAAAGAAGGAGGTAGCAGTGTGTGAGAGGTGAAGGAGTTGAGAGGGCCTTCAAGCTTGGAGGTAGGTGAATGGTGTTCCTATTTCATCAACCATGGCGCCAGGAGAGAAAAATGAACAAATTTAGAAAAATACCCAGTTGAAGTGTCAAGGAGTCTGGAGCTCAGGCAAGACGTGCCTGAAATAAGTGTTGGAGTCAGATAATATTTAAAGCCATTGGCACTGCAGAGCACATAGAACAATGCTGTTGAGATGTGGCTTGTGTACTGGTAATGGGCCATGAAATCAGTCAACAGTCATAACGTAAGAGGAAAGGGAAAAACAGCATAAATAATCAGATTTATTCCATGCAATAGTGTAAGTACTCATGACATTATATCAGGTTTTGCTGTTGCCTTTTGTGGCAGAAAAAATTATATATATTAAGCCAGTCACTCTCCCACTGAGCCTTTTTGATTTTAAACAGTGCCTTCCTAAAGTCCCCAAGCTTCCTTTGAATTCACCACATAGTCCAAACTTGCATCAAACTTGTCATCCTCCTGTGTAACTAGATTTGAACCATTAAATCATTGAGGGATCTGAAGAATATACACTCAATGGAATCAGGAAGCAAAGACAAGGAATTATATCCAGTGTTAAATCTGTAAAATAATGTTTGATATGGAGATTTATGAGGTTGGCATCCTTACTGAAAATATTTTAATAACATAATTTCTGATTATTTTTACTTTGATAAGATTGTTCCTACTACAATAAAATGTGCTTTAATTTAAACTATATTCTGATATACTAATATTTTTTAAATTACAGGTTTTTGAGACAGATTCTCATTAACATGAGCTGGCCTCAAACTGGCTATATATTTTAGGATGACTTTAAACTCCTGATTCTTCTTCTTCCACTTTATAAGGGCAAATAGTATTTTTTATTCTAGAAAAATTTCTGAGCATTTTCAAAATAGATCCCTTTAGATTCAGTGAATCCTTTAGGTTTTTTTTGAAGCAGGTTCTTTCTGCAGTCTTGGCTGTCCTGAGACTCACTATGTAGACCAGGCAGGCCTTGAACTCACAGAGCTCCTCTTGCCTTGAATGCTGGGATTAAAGAAGTGAGCCAACATGCTTGGCTAATATTTCTTAATGTAAGACAAAATAATACAAAATAGTAATAATTTGCCGAATAACATAACATTTACTCTGTCATATAAATTGTAATTTATTGTGTAATATCAAGTTGCCGAATATCCTGACTTGAACTTTGAACACAGAGCATTCAAATTGCTTTTTAAAATTCTAGGTGATAAAGAAGTATGTTTATTTTTAATATTTTTTATTATCTTTTTCTCTCTCTCTCTCTCTCTCTCTCTCTTTCTCTCTCTCTCTCTCTCTCTCTCTTTTCTCTCTCTCTCCACCCCTCTCTCTTTTTCATCTTGGCTCTCTCTGTCACTGAGAACACTTGCCTCTGCTTCCCAAATGTTGGGATTAAAGGCATATTTGGCCAAGCCCAACAGTTCTTCTTTTTAAAGAGTTTAGGTTTTTTTTTTTTTTTTAAAAAAAAACAACCTTGATTTCTCTTTTCTTATGTAAAATGTTTTGTCAACGCCAAGATATATTAATTAGAACGAAAATGCAAAAGGCCTAAATGTCTAAGTATTATACCTATGATTTAATATAACCATTTAAAATAAACATATCATTGAAGATTTCTCTAAACAATGTAACTGAAGCATTTCTGTTTTCTTTTTACCTATTTATTCCTCTTACAAATTCCCAATCATGCTGACGTAGAAGAGACAGATGCGTGTTCTATTGACTGTGTTCAGTTCCTGACGCTTTATGCTTTTGTCTGCTGCTTTGTCATGTCCTCTCAGTGACTGCAGTATGGCATCTGGCAGAATTGAGGAGGAACACATGACAGGTGTGTGTGTGTGATGAAAATCTAGTAAGGGACAATGCAAGCTGCATCCCAGAACCCTTGGAGACCCTGGGATTGTGGAGTGTCTGCCTTAAAGTTCAAATGTAACCAGAGCATTGTCAAAATAGAAAGAGAAGGGGGAAAGGAATTTCTTTTACTTATATTTGTAAACTTTGAGCCAAAACGATGTTCTACTACCAAAAACACAGGGCAAACCAAACACTCACTAAATTTGTACGGGTTTATTAAATGTTTAATCTTCATTTAATTAAACTAGTGAGTAATGGAGAGATATTGTCCAGGGAATGTAATGCCTTTTAACTTCAGTTATTAACCAACATTTTTGATTTCCAAGGAAAGTCACATGTACTTCTCATTTTCTTTTAGACAGGATCATTAATTTTTCAGATTTTACCATGGACAGCTGTTTCCATTTTATTTTATTTGTGAGTACTCACAATGAGTAAAGTTTATAGCTTATATGCAAAATTAATTTGCCATTGTTCTTTTGTACCTTTCTACATACGCATACATACACACAGATACACATACACACACACAAACACAGACCAACATTTTTTCTCTCCACTACACCCTCTTCCTATTCCATACTTCTAAATGCTTTTAAAGAGTGCCATCTAGTGTCCGTTTCTCAATTGTGGTTTATGGAACAGAATGTGGGTAACTCTGGACCAGGAACTCAAGAGTATAAGGTCCTAATTGACAAAAGCCTTAAGGAAATCGTTTGTCCTCAAGATGGCCTGTGTGCATTTCAAAAACAACCAGTGTGTGTACCTATCCATCCGTTCATTCAGCAAATACTTTTTACACACAAATATTTAGTAGGCTCTATTTTAAACATAAGCTAACAAAATTCTCTTACAGAACATTCTGGTAAGAATAAATAGTGTGTGTATTATAATGGTATTAAGTGTTGTAGAGGCAATTAAAACATAGAAGGGAAAGTAAAGGGAGTGTATAGATCGGGGTTTGGAATGTAATTTGGAATATAGACATTGTTATTAAATACCCGGAGGCAGTGTTCTTTGTAACAAGTATAAAGATGCTGAAGTTGGAATGCAGTTAGAATTCTAGTGAACCTTACTTCACTTTTGGGGATGCAATAAGCAATGAAAAAAATCGAGATAAACTCAGGAGACATAAAAGGATTAAATCAAGGTCTGTGTAGGGCACTGTAGAAGGCTGGACTGTTATTTCAGTAAGATGGAAAGATACTACAGGACTTGCACGCGGTTGCAGAATCTCATTTTTAACAGTTGCGGGGCATGAGGGACAGAGGCCATGGAAGACAACTGATGTAACTTAGAAGTGATGGTGACTCAGAAGCAGTGGAAATGGTGTGAAGTAGGTTCTGTGTATGTACTACAGAGAGAGCCAGAAATGACGGCCCAGGAGGGAAGGGGGTGTAAAAGAGTACTCACTCTCTATTACACAGTGCCGAGGTTGCTCATCCCATCCCTCAAGGGTTAAACCCATCCCTAAAAGTATGTAATTACGCAGAGTGAGGAAAATTTTCTTTTCAAAGCCATTATTAGGCCTTGAGGTAAAAATTCTTACATATAAATTCTTGCTGATTTTTTTGAAAAACATTTATATTTTATCTTATAAATTGTTGTTTTTGAAAGCATATAACCATATTGATTTTTGTTCTAGGTGACCCAATGACAACAGAAAATGAAAGGCATTAAGAAAAGCCCTACAGAAGAATCTCTGTACCTGGAGTACTCTCACCAAACAGAAGGGTGCATCTTTCCTCTCCACACATCTGTAACTTTGTTTTTATTATCATACTGTGAATGCAAGGTCTTTAACGTTTGCTTAGTTCTTCCGGAAGAAAGTACAGACACTTCACTCCTGAAAGAGGCACTGCCCCAGGATGTAGAAGTACAGGTCATTTCAAAGCAGGCGCTCCCTCCGATAGTCCAGAATTGTTGCTTGCCTGCCGTGGTAGATCAACCTGATGTTTTTTGTAGAGCAGGACTTGCTGTTGTCCTAAGACACATAATCCAAAAATCCTATGAAGCTGAGCCCTCAAGAAAAGAAATTTTGGAACTTCTGGGTTTTAAAAAGACTTGCTTGAAAGCCTGTGCTGAGGTAAGTATAAGGTCTCTTCTGCTATTTAAACCTACAAGTAATAACAGTTACTCCAACGTGACCTTATTTGCCATTAGTAACTTGGATAGTTGAGTCCTTTGTATGGCATCATTACAGGACAATACTAAAAAGAATTTAAAATGTACTTTATGAAGTTTGGATACATTATCTTGAAATAATAACGTTTTTTCTTCTTCATTATGTTGAGGACCTTTAAAAGAAATGTTCATAAATAGATCTGATCTCACGTAGTAGGGCCTTGTAAGCCCTGCAGAGTTTGAAGGCCTTGGGGATGTCTTGGTGGCATGGTGCTGAAACAGAAGCTGAAAGTTCCCATCTTGAGACATAATCCTGAGGCAGAGAACTTACAGGGAAAAGCTTCAGTCTTTTGGAATCTCAAAACTGCCCCAGTACCACACCTCTTCCAACAAGGCCAGGCCTCCTAAGCCTTCCCAAACAGTCACAGCATCTGGGGATGAAGTATTCAAATATATGAGCTGATAGGGTTCATTCTCAGCTAAACCATCAGGTTGTGTTTCTTAGTCCCTGCAGAACTGTGGCCATACCATAAAGCAAAGTGTATGTAATCCAACTTCTAAAGTCTCCATTGTCTTTCTGTCTCAATACTGTTTCAGTGTCCAAGGTTTCTTCCAACACTAGGCAATCTTTAATTGTAACCACATATAAAATCAAACAGCAACTTAAGTGTTTCCAACATACAGTGGCACAGAATTTACATTGCCATTCCAAAAGGGAGTGAGGAAATACTGGACCAATGCAAGACTGAAACACAGAAAGCCAATTCCAGATACCGTAGTTCCATGTCTGATGTCAGTGGGCTTAGATGGCTTCACCTTTACCTGGATGATTGCAACTCACTTCTCTCTCTTCAGTTGGTCCCACTCCGTGTCTGGAAGTCTCCTTGACAGGTGACTCATGGCTCTGGGTTCACTTTCACAGCTCTATAGAACAGCCTCCCTCGAGGCTTCTGGGCAGGGCCTCAGCCGCTCTTTAACCATAGAGGAAGATTTTGAGACTCCTCGACTCTTATATAACGCTAAAGCCAGACCATGTGCTGCCCACGTGGGATGGAGCCTGGCTTCCTCCTTGAATTACATCTGCAAAAGCTTCCTTTGTCGAATTTGGGAGCAGAACATTCCTCAAGCGTTTTCTTTTTGTAAGTTGGAAGCTTTAAAGGGCACCTCCTTCTTTTATTCCATTTTGCATGCATAGAGCCTGTCCTTATCTTTCTTTAGCACAAACAAGCCTTAGTTGCAACATTCAATTTCCTGGTGCTCTTTTTTCCCCTTCCAACTGTATGTTTTTTGTCTCATTTGTTCTTTTTCACTGTAGATCAACATAAGAGTGACTACTAATAGCCATAGGACATAGTCAGTATTAGCCTCTCTTGAAATCTCCTCAGCCATGAAAAATTATTTCATTGCTTTTTAATTCAACCTCAGACAGGTTCCTAGGACAAGGGCATAAAGCATCTACATTTATTTGCAAATATATATATGTATATCACAAGAAAAGTCTCTAGCCCAGTTGCTAATATTGTTTTCCTCTGAAACCTCTTGAGCTGAGGCATTCATAGTCTACATTGCTCTCAGCTCGGTTGTCCTTCCAAGCTCCTACTAGAATGGCCTGTTAAGCCTGTCTTAGAACATTCAGCTACTCTCCTAGTCCAAAGTCTACCACTGTCTTGAAAACAAACAAAAACAAACAAAGAAAAAAACCCAGCATGATCAGGTTGCCATACCTCTGGCCATACTTTCTAATCCTTCCCAAATGCTTCCACCAGCTGAGGCCCAAGTATTCAACTGTATGCGCCTGTTCTCATTCAAACCACCTACCTTGTGGAGAGGGTGATGACTTATCCAGTAAGGATTCAGAAACACAGAAGGTGCATTGTTCAAACATTGTAGTGTGTTTTCTGATCTAGCAGAATCCGAGTGCCCAAAGATGCTTTAGCCCATCCCTTAAATTATTTGACCCAGCCTTATTTCCCAGTAATAGCTAATTTTCTTGAAGATGTGTTGATAGGGGAGAATTGCTCACATCCTGTTTGTCTTGTAGGTTAGTCAGTGGACCAGGCTATGTGAACTCACCATTCCTTTGGCTGTTGAGAATTTTCTCCAAGAGTCCTCTGACCAGCCCCCACCTATCCCTGAAGAGATCCTAGAGCTCGAGAGGAAGCTCAGCGAGCCTGTCAGAGTACACAATGATGACAAACTCCGGAGACAGAAGCTGAAGCAGCAGAAGGCTGCTGGCAGTGGGCCTCCCTCTCGGAAGGGGATAGTGAAGAGCAAGGCGAGTGCACAGAAGACACCCAAAGACTTGGCTGCTTCCTCCAAGAGTCTAGAACTGAAGGTGGCGTTCTCAAAGCTCACAGTGCAAGAGGATGCAGCTGCTCCCAATAGGGAGCCTTCCCACATCAGGAAAGCAAAACCTTCTGACCTGCCGCCTCTGGAGCACGTGTTTGCAGAAGGACTATACTTCACTTTGGCAGACATCGTGCTTTTGCCCTGTATTCACCACTTTTTGGTAAGGATTTGTCTAGTCTTTATGTTACTAGTTAAGTTGCTTGGGTTTACATTTGGTTCTCAGCAAATCTCTGGTCTGTAAAGTGGAGCCCATCCTTAAGCTCTTGATGGTCTTCCCTCCAATGGTGCATATGTGTAAAGGCTTGGTCCTCAGCCTGTAACTTACTTGGGAGATGGTAGAGCTTTTAGGTTCGACCCATTGGAAGGAAGCTATGACAGTGGCTGTGCTGTGTAGCTGGATGCAGGCATTGTGGCACCTTGTGTTCCTTTTATCTCTTTGTTTGCATGAGGTCTCCTCCCTGCACCTTCCTACTCCAGTGTTCTGTGCCGCTACAGGTTCAAAATAACAGGCTCAAGTTGACCATGGATTGACATCTCTGGAACTGTGTGGCAAATCGACCTTTGTCTTACTAACTTCATTATCTCAGTAACTGTCTCATAATGATGAAAATCTGATGAACATACTCTATAGTGTCATCAGTGTAAGGAATGAATAAAATTATGGTTAATTTTGAGTTACTAAATGTTAGCAATTGATATTACTGTTAATTTTAAGTTGCTATTATAATTATCTTTTTAAAATATATTTCAAGGAGACAAAACAAAAATAAGACTAAAAATTAAGAGCATTTGTCAGCTTTATTTTATAACAAAACAGTCAATTAAAATGCTAACCATTATATTGGGTATTATCAAATCACATTTTTTTCTCTCACTTGAATACTTCTCTGTAAGATTGCATGCTTTTCAATGATGCTTTTACTTTACATATAAAGTTTTCTTTTTTAGTAAAATTTATTTGCCTATCTATCTGCTTACCCACCTGTCTCATCCTCTGTGGAAAAAAGAACCAGGTGATATACTATCACGAACATAAGAAACTAGCTTTTGCAGCCTTCCAATTGGTTCTTAGTAGCTGCATTTTTCCTAATTTAAAACATGTTCCCTTTTTCCCTAATAGAGACCCAGAAACCAGATTTTAGTCTGTTTATATATCATCCTGTTTATATATCGTTAGACTTCTAATGAAAATCTGTACATTGGCATTGACACAGTATGGAGAAATTGTTATTCTTAAGGACTCTTTTGTTGTCTTTGTACATTGGCATTGGTACAGTATAGAGAAATTGTTACTTTCTTAAGGAATCTTTTGTTGTTCCTGTGAATTGGCATTGGTATAGTATGAAGAAATTGTTACTTTTTTAAGGACTCTTTTGTTGTCTTTGTACATTGGCATTGGTACAGTTTGAAGAAATTGTTACTTTCTTAAGGACTCTTGTTGTCTCTGTTGTCCAAGGTGAAATGAAACAAGAATGACAAGCAAATTATTTCAGAATTAAACAACATGGAAGGAGACAGAATTGGGAACTGTGTAGGATTTAACTGGTATTTTAAATGTCCCGTGATCCTCTTTTCCCAGGCAAATGACTTTTGGTTTCCTTTATCCTTGACTTCCCTTTTATGAGTATAAAAGTCTGCTGAGTGGTTGTACATTATGAGAGACATGGTGTTCATGATTTCTGATTTCTCAAGAGTTCCTAGAGGCACTCTCATTTTAAACATTATTGAAGGTGAGTTTGTCAGGAGCTTTGTAAGTACTCGGAATACAGTAATGATCAAGGCAGTTAGGATCCCAGACTTCACTGGAGTTAATTTTCTAGTTAGGGAAATGAAGAAATGAACAAGTAAACAAACAAATAATATTTATATAAAATAATGGTAAGTGCTACAGAGAAAATAAGAGTATTTGATTTTTAATTCAAGAAAGCAAAAGACAAATTGGATTCACCTGCATGAAGGTGACTTTAGGTCTTCCAGGTGGCCCTATTCATCTCAGGTGATTTGCATTTCATTTTAGATGAATTTAAATGTTATTTACCTGATTGGGATTAATCAAAGCGAAAGTATTTCTAATTGACTGGATTTTTTCCATCTCTAATCAGGTAGGATATCAACTTGACTATTACTGAGTAAGTCTAATGTTGCAAAGGAACACTAGGTTTAAAATAGAGCAATACTGGCCAGTGAGATGGCTTAGCAGATAAAGTCATGTGTCTTGTGCAAGCCAGACAAACTGAGTTCCATTCATGGCACCCACAGTGGAAGGAAAGAAGAGACTTCTGGAAGCCATCCTGTGATATCTATAAATATGCCTTAGCACATACGCACCTGTGCTGAAATACAGGCACCATAACATACAGTAATAATAAATTTAAAAAAAACTGTTAAGAAACAAGATGAAAATATGTACTTACCCTTTTCTATTACATGGTTTTGAGACAGACTCATCTATCCTGGGCTAGTCTCACACTTCCTATGTTTCGGAGGATGACTTTGAACTTGTAATCTTCTGCCTCTACCTTTCAAATACTGGGGTTACCAGTATGTACCACTACACCTCAGTACGCAGTGAAGGACTCAACCCTGAGGCTTTATGCATGCTAGGCAAGCACTGTCGACCGAGCTGTATCCACAGCTCATTGTTTTAATGACATTTATCATATTCTCCTTTACTCCTTTGTATTTTTTCTAATCTGTACTTTTTTTTTTCAGGACTTCATCTTTCTTTGTCAAAAGCCTTGGTGCTGTTTCTGTCTTATTTTCCTCCCATGAGTCACTTTGAGCGATGCATCCAACATATTTTAGAGCAGTTATAGTGCCAGACATTTGTGCTGGAGTGAGTGCAGACCTTCAGAATCAGGGTCAAGTTTGTGATCAAAAATGAAGACATTAATTTGCATTAGAAGAGCTAAACCAGGGTCAGGGTAACTATCCCCAGACATAAGGTCGGGACATAAAAGATGAAATTGATCTTGCTAAGTCAAGGTTTGGATGACTAGAGTTCAGAAGGGTTAGGGAAATAGGTTTTGCTAAACAGAAGCTATAAAGGGTGTGGTGTGCTGAGGGTGTGCCCTGAACCTGCTCTACTCTTTGCAGTGGGTCCTAAGCTACACAGTTGATTTCCAGTGCTCTGGGACTTTGCCATGGAAGAAGCCTGGCAAATAAGCTGTCTTATTCGGAATTTTAAGAGTAGATTTAAAAGGAATGAATAAAGTGCAGAATTCTCAGTCCCCCTCCTTTGATGCATTTACTAGAGTCCCCTATTAGGAAGTATATTAAGTATTTGGAAGAAATTGTAATGAATAAGCTAAAAAGGTCTCTTTCAGTTAGCATGGCTAATGGCTTGTCCATCTTGCCACTCCTTTGAAAAACCGTGTCTTAATGTGGTCATTCCTGTATGCTGTGCTTTGAGCCTTTCCCAGCCCTCCTCTTTCTACTTCTTTTTCTAAAACCTTGAATTGGATCCTTAGAGTAGCTAAGATTTCTCTCATTTTTGTAGCTGTAAGTTTTCCTTGTAGGGAAATCTCAAGAAATTCTGGCAAAATGTGATTCTAGAAAATTTTTAATATCTTCCAGATTTCCTCAATGATCCTGTTTTTTCAAATGTGTATTGTTCAGTCTCCATCTCTTCCTGTAGTTTCTGAGATTTCTTTTGTAGTTGCTTTTCAGTTTTATTTCACTGTGGTCTGATACTTTTTTTTTTTTTTTTTTGCTTTGTTGTATTTATGGGCTCTTGCTTTGTGGCCTATAATGGGATCAATTTAAGAGTAGGTTCCATGCACCTCTGGGAAGAATGTGTGTTCCTTATTTGTTAGGTGGAATATTTTATAATTCTCTGTTAAAACCAGTTTATCTATGGTATAGTTTAGCTTTAATGTTTCTTTGCTGATTTTTAGGTTGGAATAGCTATCTAAAGAAAGGTGGGATTTAAAGTCTCCCACTGTCATTGCATCAGGACCTTAGCACACATTTGTGCTCTTCATCATGAAACTGAAAACTCTGATTCAGTGCCAAAATACTTAAGATTCTTACATCTTCTTGACAGACTATTACCTCTGTTGGTATCTATTTGTCCTTCCTATCTCTTCTGTTAGCTTCGCTTTGAAGTCTACATTATCAGGTGGGAAAGTCCTAACACCAGCTTGCTCACAGCTCATTTGCTTGGTCATTTGAGTCCCATCCTTTGACTCAGTGTTTGGACATTTTTGTCACTTAAGTGTGTTTCTTGGAAAAAGAAAGAAGAAAAGAAAACACATATGATTTTTTTAATCTAATCAGTCTGCATCTTTTAGTACGTGAATCCATTTGCAAATAAAGTCATCGAAAGAGAATTATTCCTGTGATACTGTTGGTTGTCCCTGTTGGTTGGATTATTGTTACCTATGTTATACTCTCCTGCTCAGACTCAGACTGCTGTGTTTGATGCAATTGAATTCTCATTCTTTGACTTCTGCTGCTACGTTGTCTTGTGTGAACCTGCCTTTTTCTTCTGTGTAAGTTTAAGACTTGCATAGTAGTGCTAGTGTGGTTGACATGATTTGCTTTAATTTGTGCTTTTTTTGAACTGCTTTCATTTTTCCATCCATCCCAAAAGATAATATTGCTGTCTATGGAGATCTTGGTTGGTAGTTACTTTCAGGGCTTGAACTAGATCATTCCCTGCTTTCCTGGCTTGTAGAGTTGCTCCTGATTCTCATGTTTCTGCCTCTTGTCTGTGAGTTGGCATTTTCCCTTTATAGGTGTTAGTATTGTTTCTTTGCTTTGCATTTTTAGAAATCTTGACTGATCTGTTACATAGAGATTCTTTTCTGGTTATTAGTATTAAGGAATTCTAAATGCCTCTTGATTTGAGGTCTGTCTCTCTGTATTTAAAAAATCTGTTACAATTCTATTGAATAAATTGTCTATGCATTTATAGTTTATCTCAGAGCCTTTTACCATCTTTATTCTTGGGTTTGGTCTCATTTTATATCTTGGAAGCTTTGGTCACAGTCACATATCAGAATTTATCATAGTCTTGACTTGTTCTTTGTTCCTGATCCTTTCATTTTGAGAATTCGTTTGGTTCTTGTTTAGAGTCTCAGTTTTCTTGCGGGTTTTTTTTCTCTGTTTTTACGTTTCTTCTCCAAATTACTGCCCATTTCCTGTACTTTGCTTACATTCTTGTCTGGGTCCTGAACTAATTTTCTCACCTTGTTCTTCTGCTTATTTGTGTTCTCTGCATGGTCACTGGCCCTTTTAAATGTGGGACTCCGATGTCCTTTGACATTTCAGTGTTCTCACTGTTTTTGGTTCTAGTTATTTGTGAGTTATGAGTTTATGAAAGAGTGGAAGTATTTTTCTGTATTTTAAGCTCAATTCTCTTAGCACTTAATTTATTTCCAGGCAGTTAAGGATTTTATAAAGAACTATAAATTTTTTGGCTCCCACAGTGCCTTATAGATAGCATTTTAAAAAACATTTTAATCTAATTCAAAATGAATAATACATTTTATAAGATATGGAGGACTAGCACACATTTTCCTCAAGTCTCATGAATTATTTATTTTTGGAAATTTCCATTTGATTCAGATTATGATTGACTAGTAAACCTTGGAAAACAAAATCATAATATGGATAAAATATCGATACTGCGACTGCTATAGGTCCCTTTTTCAAGTATTAATTTTTACCATTTTATTTTTTATTTTTGCTTCCGTGAAATATCCTCCTTAACTCATCAAGTATGTCCTTTGTTAGTATGTACTTACATTATTTTCTAATAATATATAAATTATAATGATATACTGTAGGGATGATAACATTCACTAAAGAAAAGGAAGTTTAGATAGTTATTAATCAAAATGGGACTGTAAACTCTATTCCATATTTCTCTAGTGGGCTGAAAAATTTCCTTTACTACTAAAAATACCATGACCATAGACACTTTATAGGCATAAAATCATGATAAATTTAAATTATTACACAATTTGCTTAAAGCTAAACTTACTGCTTCCTCCATTAAACAGTTAGAGATCTTTATACGTATATATTAATATATTTGATTTTCATATAGCACTGTCCATTTTGCCTTCTATACTTAGTATATTGAGACCTTCACAGATATAATGAAGGCCAGAGACAATGGAATGGCTTGTTGGCCGTGATTTATAGACGAAAACGTGTGCCAATTAGAAGGCGGTTAGAGGGAGGATTGAACTATGACAAGCAGCGGGGTGAACTTGATACTATATGTAATAATTGTACATTATTACATTTACAATGTAGTAAATGATGAGTAGGCTGTGCGGGTTTTCACGGCTGTACAACAGTATCGCTGGGCTGGCTAGTGAGCTTGTTTTGTGCGGAACTACCAAGCTGGCTTTCCACATACTTTATGTTGCTCCCCATCCTCCCCCTCCCTTGTGTTGTGTTTTGGAGTTTTGTAATTCTAATAGGTATGTAGTGGTGCCATCTTAATTTTCAATTGTCTAATGATATATGACAATTAATATTTTTATAAGTTTTTTTATAATCATATATACAACTTTTAGGGAAGGAATCTATTTAGAAATTTGTCCATTTTGGAGTTTTGCTGTTTAGTTCTTTATTATAAGTTTATCTTAATGCTTTAAAATTTTTTCCATACAGTTTATTTTGATCATATAGCCTTTCCTCCCCTCAACTTCTTCCTGAACCCTTCCATTTCCTACCTCCCCAACTTCATTTTTTATCTGTGTCTCAAAAAGCAAATCAAAACAAATTAAAAAATCAAAAAGCCAAAAAAAAAAAAAACCCAATACAAACCAAGCAAAAAGCACACAAAACCCATGAAGCCCTCTTTGTGTCGGTCTACCATTCCTGGTCATGGGTCTTGCCCTGGAGAGTGTTTGATATACGGCTTATCACTCCAAGCTTCCCTGTCTGAGCAGGTGCCAGCTGTGATTAGCATCGTGCTTAGGGATGGCATATTGTGCTCACCTCCTCTTCCCTGTGCTGGGATCGCATCTGGCTTGAATTTGTGCTGACCCTGTGTATTCTCTCACAGGCTCTGTGACTCATAATTGCATCAGCCCTGTCATTTCTAAAATGACTGTCTCCTTGGAGTCACCTACAACTTCTGCCTGTTACCATATCTCCATCTCCTGTCTGCATAGATCCCTGAACTGTGAGGGGAGGTGTTTGCTAAAGACGTCCTGTTTAGGGCTGAGTGCTCCAAAGTCCCACTCTCTGCCATTGTCCTGTAGTGAGTTTCTGTGTTAATTACCATTGACTACAAAAAGAAAGTTCTCTAGTGATGTCTCATGGTTGCATTAATATATGGGTATAGCAATATGTCGTTAGTAGTTGTTATATTGCTATGTTCCTTTAACAGAACAATACCATGATCTATCTAGTCTCAAGTTCTTGGTCACATTAGCAATGTCAGATGTAGGTTTCATCTCATGGAGTGGGCCTTACATCCAATTTTTAAAGTTTTTGGTTATTCCCATAATACTATTGTACTAGTATGTTTTGTAATCACGTCACTGTTGTTGGTCACATGGTTTGTAACGGGGTGTTATTGATGACTTTTCCCATCTGGTAGCATGCAGAATCTGTTCCAACACCAGAAATGCTAATCAGTGGAGGTGAAGCATCTAGTTAGGCACTAGCTCAGTTTGTCTGTGTGTGATGACATAAGTAATGTCGTCAGCAATATTACATTAGTGAATATTAAAAGATATGCAAATGACAAATATGAGGTGTTCATTGTCATTAATCATAAAGAAAGGAAAACAAACAGTATTATGAGGAACTCCTGAACACTGAAATGTTATGGCAATAACGAATGTTGGCAAGATGAGGAAGATCTGGGGTCCAGCTCAGTGGCTCAGTAGGAGAACGCATTTGCTGTGTAGGAAAAAGGAGTAGCCACGCCAACCTGATAACCTGCATTTATCTCCAGATTCCCCAGTGCAAAGGAGAAACTCGTGAGGGTTGTCCTCAGGCCTCCACACATCTGCCGTGTGTAACAAGCAAATGCCTGTACTCAAACACAAATATCATACAAATATCATATACAGACTAACAATAAATAGAAATTAAAAATATACATGGGGAAATTGGAGTCTCCACAATGGAAATATAAGGTGATATAGCCACCATAGAGAACAATTGAATAGTTTCAACCTACCAGTTCTGTTCCTGATAGGCAATACCTAGAAACATGCCAATGTCCATCAACTACTGAATTACCAGTTACGTACAGTTAGAGTGGTTAGAGTGACTATTAATAAGGAAAGCAAAGTACTGATGAGCTTAGCTATATGAGTAAATGTTGTGACATGATGCTAAATGGAAAAGCACAAATACTTCTTATGATTCTATTTATTTGTATAAGCCACATTACAAACTTGGAAAACAGGTCACTGGCTACCTGCACCTCGTTGTGAACATAGAAGTTTACTGCAAACTGTCACAGCACTATGGTGTCCTAGAACTGGATGGTGATGGTACCTGCACAGTTATTTGAATTTCCTAATGTTCACTTGTTGAATTGTACCTTTGAGATGTGTAAGTTTTATGATATGTGATACTTCATTAACATTGTCATAAAAATCACATATATATTATATATTTCTAAAATATCCTTTTTTTTTTAAACAGGTAATTATCTGCAAGAAATTTTCAGAGAAGCTGGAACAGTTTCCACTACTAACCTCTTGGTATCAGAGGATTCAGGAAGTGCCAAAAGTCAAAACAGCAGCTTCTAAGTGTGGGATCTACTTTCTGTATTTACCAGAATTGCTGAACTCTGCAAGTAAACCGCCTGTGAAGTCTAATGAAGTCGCAGCTGTAGATGAGCAGAATGATCCTTTATTTATAGGAGGACCAAGACCGACTATGACCAAGTTAATGGTAGTTAGCTTTCTTTGAGCATACCTTCCCAACTAATAATCATCTTCTGGCATCATTGATTATGCATTTTATTTATAGCTATCCAGATCTTTATTTACCAAATAATGTTTCTACTAGTCTTGTTTTCAAGTTGAAATACATAGTTTAAAGTAATATTTTAAAAAAAAATATTCATAGTATGAATCAAAAGGAACATCCTATCTATCATTTTAACCTAAATTTCCTGTGTTACAGAACTTTGATTTCAGTCTTTATTTTGGTTATTTATTTAGTTACTGTTTCTTGGTCTGGTTTATTCTGATACACATGACGGTCTCCATTCCATCCATCTTCATACAAGTGTCATGATTTCATTTTTTTAACTTAATTTTTTTTGAGATTTCATATATTAGTGCTGTATTTACATTATTCCTGCCTTCCCTGTCTCTTCTCCAGTTGTATGTGTGAGTGTGTGTGTGTGTGTGTGTGTGTGTGTGTTATTCCATCTTTTAAATTCATGGCCTTTTCTTTAATCTTGTTGTACATACATGCATACACACACATGCACACAAAAAAACAAAACCCCAATGAATCCATTTAATGTTGCTTGTATGTGTATGTGTTTAGGGATGTCCACTTGGGCTTGGATAACCTGTCAGGGGACTTGTTCCTGGGGAGATGGATTCTCTCTCAGCAGCCATAACAGCCTGTAGGCTTTCCTCTAGTGATAGAGCCTTGTGGTATTTCCCGTATCTGTGGTTGGCTTGTTAATTGATTGTCTCTATGCAGGTCCTGTTTAGGTAATCAGATTGTTCAGACTTCACGGGTACAGCCTCCTTGCCATATATAGAAAACACTATCTAGAAGAAAATATGCTAGACCCTACATCTTAACAGTCTTTCTGCTCCTCCTTCAGTGCTCCCTGAGCCTTAAGCATTACATTGTAGTTATATCAACCAGGATTGGAAACACCACCGACACTTATTCTTTGTATTTTGACCAGTTGTGGATTTCTGCAATAGTCATCTGCTGTAAAAAGAAGCTTTTTTGATTAGGGGTGAGGCTACCCTTATGTGTGGGTTTAAGTTAAGTAAGTATTTGAAATTCATATGAGCAGTAAGGTTCTCCTGTAGCATTCATGACCTGACCAGACACAGAAAATTTACTATATTTACAGTACTAGGCATGTGTTCTCTACCATTAAGCAGGCCTTAAGTCCAATTAGGTCGGTATTGGGTAACCACACGCTAAATACACCAGTATTGCACTTGTGGATATCTTTCATGTAGGTCATTCTTGTGGTTCGCACCTTTACAGCTGAGTAGAACTCTTGATTACTTTTCTCCCTCAGCAGTTTATGTAGTGCCTACAGATGCTGTTAAAGCTAGTTCTCAGGGAGGAGGCTTCCAGGTCAGTTCTAGCTCAGCTCCTCCAAATTCTGTGTCCGAAGTGTGTGATACAATCTGGTCTTGCCTTTAAGTTCTGGGAGGTAGCCAAGGGCAATGAGGGAGCCTGTATTGTGGAGAGATTGAAGGCCCATTCCCTGGGGCCCCACCAAACCTCCCCACTCCCTGGGGCCCCACCAAACCTCCCCACTCCCTGGGGCCCCACCAAACCTCCCCACTCCCTGGGGCCCCACCAAACCTCCCTACTCCCTAGGGCCCCACCAGACCTCCCCACTCCCTAGGGCCCCAAGTCTCTCGAGGGTTAGGTGCGTCTTCTCTGATTGAGTCCAGACCAGGCAGTCCTCTTCTGTATATGTGTTGGGGGCCTCATATCAGCTGGTGTGTGCTGCATGATTGGTGGCTTAGTGTCTGAGAGTTCTCAGGGGTTCAGATTAGTTAAGACTGCTGATCTTCCCATGGGTTGCCCTCCTCCTTAGCTTCTTCCAGCTTTTCCCTGGGGTCACCAGCTTCTGTCCATTGGTTGGGTGTAAATATCTGCATCTGACTCTTTCAGCTGCTTGTTGGGCCTTTTGGCGGGCAGTCATGATAGGCCCCTGTTTGTAAGCACACCATAGCATCAGAAATAGTGTCAGCCTTGGGGCCTCCCCTGGATCTCAAGTTAGGCCTGTCTTTTTATTACAATTAAAAGATAATATCAATGTATTGATTTTGAAATGACATTTTATATGACATTTTGTATTTTTTTATGTAACTAAATATTTTGGTGCAAGTATGGTTACGTTTAATTGCCTTTTTCAGTACAAAAAGTAGAAAACAGGGCTTTATTAATTCACTAACTTATAAAGTCTCCTTCCTTTTTTAGGAAAAAGGCATTGAAGCAATGTTTTCTCCACACCCTTGTCCTGCTTGGACCCTTGACTGGAGCAGCCTTCCTGCTGCCGTCAGCCCGAAGGAAGGTGAGCTTTGCTTTGCTTGTTAATGTAAGGTTTGTGTTCAGTCTGGATACTCCCTTCAGAGCCATGTTTTCATATTTGAAATGTCTCTTTGGATGTATTTGATATTTTAGTAACATAGCTAATATCCAATGAGTATTCATTTTAATTTTAGAATTTCAAATCAGGCAAATCGAATATGCTGCTTTCCATGTTTTTCTACACTGACGTCATTAAATTCTACCCCCCCCCCCCCATGGTGATATATTTTAAAACAAATGTTGTTTTATTTTTTTAGAATATATGAATGACATAAGTAACTACAATTCCACTTATCAAGTGTAATAGAAATTTAAAATTTCATTCATCATCTAGTAATTTATAATACTTTCCTCCAAAGTCTTATTTTTAAAGAAACATCTCTTTATTATTTGAACCACTATATCTTATGACCAGAAATTATTTTTGCTTTGTTTTAAATAAACCTTTTCATGGGCATATTTTGGTTTCCTTATTTTATGATTTTTATGTTGGATACTTTTTTCTAGTAGTTGGTATTCATGGGGTTCTAATTCTGCCATTCATTTCTTCTACTGAGTACACTCCTAATTACCTACTATTCTGTGGATTTTCTAATGTTACATTGTGAATTCCATTTGGTGATACCTTAATCTGTGGTTCTTGACAGTTTGGGGTTAAGGGTAATCTCACAGAAAGAGTTTCTCTTTCTTCATTAAAGCATCTCCAAATGTAGAACTTAAGACCATTGTCCTTAGCTTTTCAGCTTGCATGTCTGTCTCTCTGTTCTTTGTAGCTGAGATCTTCTTCTTTTGTTGCTGTTGGGACTTTTGTATGTGTCTTCCCAAGATCACAACTTATGTCAAGGGGTTTTTCCTTTATGTAGTTGTGGTTGTCCCAGCTCTGCAGAGACAGTCAAGAATGAGCTTCTCGTCTCCATCCTGCTCTTCCAGTGAGGACCTCTCATAGGTAGACACATCCTTGGGGCAGCCTTGGTGCCAATTCAAGGTTATTAGACCAATGTTCAGCCCTTTATCCTTTTATAAGACTTTATGGATTATCCTTTCTTTCAGAAACTCTGTTAAACATGTAAAGGGAGCTTGATTTTTAAATTTAAAGTGCTTTTAACGGAAAGTTTTTAGCATAGATCAAAGATTAATCATCTAGCTAGAAGAGACAGATATAGTTTTTTATAAAGGGTCAAATGAGAATACTTGAACAGGAAGGTTAAACTGAGGTGAAGGAGGGGGAAAGCAGATGTGCAGAAAATAAGAGAATGCTGAATGCTCTGCCCCATGGAACACAGGTGCACCTGATGCTCACAAGATCAGAAGAGGACATCAGACCCCTTGCACAGTTGTGAGCCACCATATGTGTGCTGGGATCTGAACCTGTGTCCTCTGTAAGAGGAGCAAACTCTTACATGTTTGTGTGTGTGTGTGTGTGTGTGTGTGTGTGTGTGTGTGTGTGTATGTATGTGTGTGTGTGTGTGTGCAGGCAAAACACATAAAATAAATAAATCTTAAAAATTGAAACAAAGGCCAGAGCCAGGAATGTGTTATTCCTTTGGGAGTTGTTGGCCAGTGATATCTCAGACACAAAACATGACAACCTATTGCCAATACTCTTGATTACCCTCCAGAACTTGACAGTAAGGCCCTGTTGCTGAGACACTGCGTCCTTGAGTCACAGAACATGGAGGCATGGCACTGTTGCTGACCTAGAAACCTCTTTCCTACTTGCATCCCTTTTATTGGAACACCTGGTTTTTGTAAAGAGTGAGAAACTAGATTGCACAGCAGATCGCCGTGGACTCCTCAGATACCAGTCATTGACTAGAGCCTACAAAGTTTTCACTCTTGGATAAACAGAATTGTCTGGTATCTTAGATTAGAAGTTTTCTGCTTCATGGCTGCTGTAAGACCCACTTTACTATTTTTACTAACAAAGGCTGTGTTCATCCTTAGCCTCAGTTCTTAGTCTCTCTAGTCTACCACTCTCTACTCTAACCCACTTTTTCTCTTCGTATCTTGCAATATCTATCATCTTTAGGTTTTACTTTTAAATCTATTTTAATTATCTCTATATCCTCAATTTTACTTTTCAACCAGTATAAATACCATAATTTTCATTATTTATTGCCTATTCAAATGTACTCATCCTTTTAGAATCAATTCAAATGCTACTTCATTTTTTAAGCCATGTTTTATGGAGTCACCTGCCTGGATTCAAAACCTAGGTAGGCTACCATTTCGTAGGGAGCCTGTGGCCAGGTGGTCAACTTCTCTGTCCTTTTGTTACCTCAGTCACATCTGTAAAGGGACGATAATGATATTGTCTTTTTCTTCATTCAGTGAGTTAATATGTAAAGCACTCAATACAATGCCCAAGTAAATTATAGGTATTAAATGTTAGCTAATATGATAGCTGGAATTAATCACTCCCCAGTGTTGTTAATTTTATTATTACATGTGTATATATGATGTTGTTATTTCAATGTGCATAATATGGTGTTTATGTGGACATATGGTGCATACATAGTGTATCATAGGGCAGATATCTTAAGTCGCTTCTCTTCTTCCACCTTTATGAGCAAGGCATTGACCTCAGGCTTTCATGCAAGTTCCTTTACTTGGTAAGTCATCCCGCTAGTCCTTCCATTGGTACTGTGTGTGTGTGTGTGTGTGTGTGTGTGTGTGTGTGTGTATGTGTGTGTGTGTGTGTGTGTGTGTGTACATGTAAACAGTGTCTTCCTCAATTGCTCTCCACATTTATATCATTTTATGCTTTAGGATTTCTCACTGAACCTGGAGCTCCTCCACTTGGCGAGGATGGCTGGCCAGGGATCTCCAGGGATCTCTGTTTTCGTTCAGAGATGGAGTTGCAGATGTGTGCGAACACACCTGGCTTTTACATAGGTGCTAGAAATCTGAATTCACCTCCCCATGTTTGCTTGACAAGTACTTTACCAGCTGAGCTATTTTCCCAACCCCCATCTCCAGCTGTCTTATACTTTAACTTTGGTTTTTGTATCATGCTTCTTGTCCAATATAACTACTCACATGCATGCTGTTCTTCTCAAACACAATCTAAGTGTTTGAGACTAGAAGTCCTTTGGATAGACTTGCAGCAATTTTATTAAACTGAATACATTAAACTATGGTTCTTTTTATGTTAACCCCAATTCTCCCTAAACATAGGAGAATAATTGAAATTATTAAGTTTAAAGAAAAGAGAGCTAAAGATTTGATGTGGTTTTTTTTTAACCCTGGAATAAATTTTGACTCATTCTGCTCTACACCTAAATATGCAACTACTCCCAGGAACATTCTGATACACAGCCACACTGCAGTTACTAAAATAGGACACTTAACTCAGTATATATTATTATCTAACCTATTGTCTTCTGGAAGTGGCAGATTTAATTTTATGTCTCTTTATTCTAATAATAATTTCTAGATTGTTTTCCATAACAATGTGGTTTCTGAGTAGCTGCAGGTTTTTCCCCCTGACTGTCTGGATTTGGATTTCTCTGCTGTTTTCTCAGATAATCAACTCCTAATGTTGTCATTACATTTGTCCATGTGCTCAGTCCTACAATATAAAAACAAGCTTTAGAGTCACTTTAACCACATATATATGAAACTTTTGCCTAACTTGACATCAGTATGGTTTATAGTTTATATGAGCTTAGGCTGTGTCATCAGAATTCTCATGAAGATAATTATAACCTTTACAAGATAAATTCTGTTTCACAATGTTTTAAGTTATTTTAATCATGTCCACTGCTAGCAAAAGACTTGGTGAAAATTTCAGTTGTCAGCCAACATACTCATACTACAGCAGACTGTTCAAGCAATTGCATACTCTATTATGATAGAGTAATACTATGTGACTTCATACTCTTTATGATAAACTAGAATAAGCATTGTTTGAGCCTGAGAACTAAAGCCCAGCATCATTAACTATTCTTTCCTTATGAATTCTTATCTTCTGACTTCAAACATGCAAATGAATATAGTCTTTTTCTTAAAACCTAGAACAAAGGTTTCCTGTACCACCTGTTCACCAAACTCCTTGCCTTTGTAGCTTTCCCAAGTCTCCAGTAGTTCTCAGATGGATCAGTCCTTTCTTTTTTTTTTTTTTAATTGGATGTTTTATTTACATTTCCTATGTTGTCCTCTTACCCCATCCCACACCCACCCCGGAACCCCCAATCCCCTCACCCCTCCTCCTTCTTCTCTGTGGATGTAACCTCTATCTACTCCCCCCCACTCCCACCTCCCCACCCTCAAAATTCCCACCCCCTGGGGCATCCAGCCTTCATGAGGTCAAGGTTCTCTTCTTCCACCTATGCCCAGCAGGGCCCTCCACTCTTACATATTCAGCTGAAGCCCTGGATCCCCCCCCCCAAGTGCTCCCAGGCTGGTGGTTTAGACCCTGGGAGCTGTGGTTGGTTGGTATTATTGTTCTCCTCATGGTGCCGCAAATCCTTTCAGCTCCTTCAGTCTTCACTCTAACTCCTCTATTGAGAAACCCATGATCAGTTCAATGGCTAGTTGTGAGCATCTGCCTCTGAATATGTCTGACTCTTGAAGGCCTCTGAGGAGACATCCATATCAGGCTCTTATCAGCATGCACTTCCTGACTTCCACATCAGCATCTACCTTCGGTGACTGCACATGGGATGGATACTCAGGTGGAAAGGTCTTCAGACGGCCCCTCCTTCAGTTTTTGTCCCTCGCTTTGTCTCCATATTTGCTCCCTTGAGTATTTTGTTGCTCCTTCTAAGAAGGACTGAATCACCCCCATTTGGTCTTCCTTCTTTATGGGCTTCATGTGGCCTGTGAGTTCCATCTTGGGCATTTCAAGGTTCTGGGCTAATATCCAATAATCAGTGAGTGAATACCATGTTTGTTCTTTTGTGATTGGCTTACCTCACTCAGGATGATAATTTCTAGTTCCATCCATTTACCTAGGAACCTCTCGAATTCATTGTTTTTAAT